GCATTGATGGTGGTGGTGGTGGTGGTGGTGGTGGTGGTGTGGTTTGGTGATGGTAGCATGATGGTGGCATGATGGTGGTATGATGGTGGTATGATGGTGGTGATGGTGGTGATGGTGATGACGGCGGAGATGGCGGTGATGGTGGTTAAGCAGGGGCGAGGGTGGTAGCCATGATAAGTAGCGGCTACACACCATCATCTGTTCTTGCTGAGAACGAAAATCTGTTCATCAACGCCGTTTGCGCTTGTTCTTGTAAGCATGATGCTACACATATTCCAGACCGTATTAGACTCGCCTCAAGTACTGTAGTTAGCGTGGCCATCCAGGCTCGCACCAGAAGGAATGTCCGCACTCTGTCAATTAGGCCGTGTCCTTTCGAAACCGCTGGGAGATCCACTGGTGAAGATCTCCGCCAAGGCAAAGGTCCAGAATGAGACAAAGGGAGCTCTGACTGCGAACGGTCTCCTGATCGTTGCCAGCTCCACCCCGGTAGACAAGATGATAGGCAGATGTTAGTCTTTCTGGTTCTGCTCGAGACTGTCAGCACAAGTACTGGTGGAAGATTACATGCCAAAGCGGTGCACAACTGACTCCCACGCTAGATTGCCCTCCCTGCCCGAGGCAGCGACGTGGAGTCGAACGATGTGAGGATGGCTGAGACACTTGGTGATTTGCATCTCCTGATCCTTGGCAAGCTCGACTTGGCTGTGAGAACTAGAATACAGCAACAGATACGGGTAGGTAAATAGCCGGATAGATCCACTGCACCGCCAGCACACACCATGTGGAGCCCCGGTGCGCCCATCGATGCACAACACCCCTCCACTGCAACACTTGAAAGGTGTCGCGGTCGACTGGCTAGGAGAAGGACAACTGGAGACGGGTTGACAGGGCCTTGAGGTCAGGGTGTTCTGCAGGCGTGAAGGGCACGGCCGTCTGTAGGGAATGGAGCTAGTTTACACACCCTGGCCCATCTTGGCCGAAACAGCGATGCTACCACTGCTCCAATGCTTCCGGTGGTCATCCCTGCGCCTTGCTGAAGCTAACCCCCGGCCGGCCCAGAAAATTCGGCTTCCAAAATGACTCCGGCGGTGCCAACTTCCATGCCCGAGGTGCCCCGTAGGCAGGCATGACTTTGACCGCGTACTTCTGGTTGGTGCCCCTTTTTACCTGAACTTCTTCATCGTGCTTGAGGCTTCAGGATCAAGCGTTGAGCTCCCCACAGCCAGGCTGACCGTTCCGAACCTTGCTTTCCATTGCAAAGCTAAGCAAGTCCAACGCTTTTCCGGCATTTGGTGGGTGGCTTCCCCTCGCCCAGTCTTCGCGTCACGATGTACCTGCAGTCGCAGAGTGCCGCGGCCACGTGGTTGAGCCGTTCAGCAACATGTACACATGTACATCTGTGGAGGGCACCGCTCTTCCAGCGGGCTGTTGATTGTTGGCACTGCCGATGCAGACCTGCCACGGCATGGCCGACAAGCCTTTGGCACTTCTTCTGGCTTCTGTCTGTGTCAAGCACGAGCGCGAGCTCAAGTCCTAGCCACATCCGGACCTCCACTGGAACTAGAACAGCCTGATCATGTCGTGCGACTCACTCAAGGCCTCCACCCCGTCATCATATTGGCAACCTTACTAATAACAAAGCAAAGCCTGATTTTTTTCACATCGCGGGTTTGTACGTGCATTGATGATGATGCTGCTTGCAGAGCGAACGACATCGGCGCACAAATGCAGCTGTTGCACCGGCCACCAGCATTCCTTTCTTAGTTCTGCACAGTCGGGCTGAGGTGATCCATGGTGGTCTCGGAGCCTCGCAAAGACTGATGCAATCAGTTGGGTACCGGCTTCCCCCTCCGCTGCGTTTCTCTCCAAGCTCATCAAGAAACGACAATCATGAATAGCGAAGATCAAACTGCATAAACTGCGGCGAATTGAAGATAAGACCGTGGCTTGCGGTAGACTTGCTGCTGAGGCTGCTGAACTTCGATTTCAGCTTGGAAGGCTCGTTGCCCTGTGCGACGGTAGGTTCGGGCAGGACGAGGCTCCCGAAAGCACGCTGAGCTTGGGCTTCCCTTAAAGCCATAAAGCCAGCAAGCAGCCGGACGGAGCGTCCACAAGCTCCGGCACAAGAAATCTGCTAAGGCTAGGAGCGGCTGGGCTTTGCCACGAGGCATACGTTGTAAGTTGCATTACACTCTGCGCCATTTACGGGCTGTATATTACACTACTACTAGTACATGATATAATTCTACAAACCGCACATGATACTATAGATGCGCCGGATGCAATCTTCTTCCAGGTCGATGCTGTAGCCTAAACCCTAAACCCTAAACCCTAAACCCTCAGAAAGCCCCTCCTCCGCGGCAGCCACGTTCGGCGACGCCGCCTCGCTGAGGTGCGGCGGAGTGTGGGTGGAGCAGTTAGGGTTTAGGGTTTAGGGTTTAGGGTTTAGGGTTTAGGATAATTTGCACAAATCAGCCTCAGAGGGATTCCTGCATATACGCGCCGTCCGGGGCTGTGAACTTACCAGGTGGGAACATTCCTGCTCTTAAGGCACCTGTTTGCCTAAGCACAGGGCATTGCCGAAGCTGATCGGCCTTTTCGCTTCCTCGGTGGAGTTTCAAAACAGCTTCACATACATGACAGCAGTCACTATGACGACATCTAGAGCAGTGGTTCACCTCAAGCACATCTATGCATTGAGCACAGAAGCCGAAGGCCCCTCAGGCACAGCACCTAAGCTGCGTCCTGCGACAAGAGCCACATGAGGTGATGCGTATCAGCACCTGAGAAACGACAATCAAGTCCGGTCCTGGCTGTCCTCGGGGTCCCCGCTTGCCGGCTTTGGGCAAAGGCATGAAGGCCGTGGAGACGTCAGTTGGACTTCGGGTCGCTGCCGTGCAGATAAGCTAGCACGATATGAGAAGAGTCCTGCATAGGCTGTTGAGCAAACCTCTTGCTGGGATGCCGCGAAGATGGCGGCAACGAGCTAAATGACCTTTTATGGCACATGCTTTGTCCATGTCTACAAGAACATACAACAAACCCCGCTTGCAAGATGGCAGCGAAGGAATTGCGTCTTTTGGCATGTCACACTTGGCACGCGAACATGCATCGAACAGGACAAACAGTGCCATTGCAGGACGCATGGCAGTACTGCCGAGCACACGGCAGACTACTGCGGTGGAAAAGCTTTGTTTGGAAAGGATGCGCGAATTTGAATGTATGAGCGTCATTGAGCAGTGATCCGCCCAGCACATGCTCTCTGGACCACAGAACGACAAACCTATCCTTGACGTTAGATAAGCTGGTGCTCTCAAGAAAAAAGCTGATGGTCGAGTAGTGTAGATCGGCTGAACAAACCCTTAAAATGCTCTTGATGAGCTCGGCAGCGGCGGCATCGCAAAGACTCGTCGTCAGACCGTCAGCGATGCTCTCAACAACTCGGCCAACGTCCAAAAGCGCGACTTGCTCATAAATGATAGGCAGCTCTGTCTCTCATATGCACAAGACATCACAAAGGACCGTCGGCTCTTGCAGGAAATGTCCCTATCGCAGCCCTCCTTCTTTGCTTCGCCTCCTTGAGGGCAGCACTGGCGCTTTCTCCTCCAGGAGGCAGAGCAGAAAGGGCCAAGCAAAAAACCGCTGGGGCCTGTCAAGGGCAAGAAGTCCTTAAAGCGGCGGACCGTGTCCGTGCCAGTGTCTCTTGCGGTCCCAGGAAGACATCTCGAAATGACAGGCTCCACCGTTGGTTCTGGGCGGGGTTATATTAATATAGTAGGGGTATGTGACTGAATGCCGTGTGTTGTGCCAACCTGGTGGATGTAGGCACTTCGAGTGAGACTCAACAGTTTGGAAGCGTTCATGCTTCCACGATGCACTTGGTGCACAAAACTGCTCGGGCGTCCAGCATCCCACGACAACAATGAAGGCAGGCAAGAATCTTGGCAGACTGCATACTGTTTCAACGCTGGCTGTCTTGTCGTTGTTCCGGTTCCGGCTGTGACAGTGACCTATTGTTCACATCTTGAGCAGCTTTGCTCTGCAAGGATAACGCAGTGCACTACGAGGCCTGCTCACCCGCTGGATCCGGGCGCTTCTGAACTTAAAAAAATACCTTGGTCAGAGAGCGAAGAGTTCAGTACGAGTACAGAAGCGTAAAGGCAGTAAAGGGGTTGGGGCGAAGGCATTCTTGTGAGATGAATAGGTGCCGGTTGCTTGGGATGCTCTTCTACGGTACAGCTCCCTGAAAAGCCCGGCTCGCAAACTCTTGACGGTCCGGTCGAAACCCTGAGATCTGCACTTTGACTGGTACAGGAAGCTGAAGAATCGAAAGTCGAAGCCTCAAGACACAACGATGGCTCTCATGTACTGCATTCGACAATGGCAGGCGATGTACCTGTGACAGCTGCCACACTACATGGCCTATGTCGGGTCTGAGGTTTGTAAGGTGTGTTCTTCCGTTCGTCCCCGGGCTCAGTCTACTTGCGCTGATCACAGAAGCCGAGGCGGGAGCAAACGGCTGCAGAAGATCTGCTCGTTTCGCATCTGCACACAGTGCCCCTGAGACGGCGGGAAAAATCTCGACAGAGAACCGAATCAACCCCACCAGAATGGTGGTCGACATGTTCGCAGCTCGCAAAAAGAATGGCGGATCCTGCGCTTCATCCCGGAGAGTGTCTGCATCCCAATGCCAAACTCCGAAACAAGCTGGGGCGGTCCAGAGAAAACTAGCCAGTGGCCCAAACGGTCCCGAAATCGCCCCATCTATACTTCAAAACCATCTACCGGCCCTCTGAATCAAGCCGAGGCTCCTCCATCCACACTTGGGTGACACCGTGAGCTCAAGCAATCTAAATCAATTGTGGGAGAGCAAGGGCTGTGCTGAGACTTGCACGAAGGGTTCTGCCCTATCTACTTCTCGAGGGTGCGAGAAGTCAGGGTTCTATCTTGCACGTTGCTCTCCTGAGGAAAAATCCACAGCTCACTTCAAGCAAATCTCAGTCTTTCTTGCCGACGACCTTGGACCAGGCGGCTGGCACGCGCAAGTCGGGCATCAAACGTTGAAGCTGAGCTCGGGGCCTTTGTGAAAGAAACATACTTGCTCGCGTTGGAGGCCAGCGTCACCCCCAGATTCACGATCTTCCTAAGGTCTCTTGAAACGCGGGTGCCGTCTTGGCTGTGAACTGCAAGTCGACCATCTCACACTCATGCCCGCACTCCGTGCCGTGCCGTGCCGTTGAGGCCAATGCTGGGGAGAACGGCCGATAATACCGTTCGCAGCGCGGACGGCCTACCAATGCACATTGCCCATGCATTGGGAACGCTTCTCTCAGTTAGTGGAGTTGCAGGCGATCGAAGTGATGCAATCACTCTGTTCATCGACGGCAAGTCGCCACCCAGCCATAAAGGTCCATGTCCCTCGGCATTTGAGGAAAGCTCGGATGCAGCTCTAGGGAAAGAAGAGACAAGGCAGAGGAAGGAAGGCTGTCTAAGCATCCTCCCACCCTTTCGTAATGGATCCTCCGGCTTGGCCGAGTCTCCAAACTCCGGAGTCAGTTCTCCAGAGTCCTCCTAAGAAGGGAAGCCTTCAGGTTCCCCTAAAATGGGGGGGGCAATTGCGAATTCTGCATGCGGTGACGCCGGGAGCCGGTTACTCCCAAGCTTCTCCAAGCCTGCCCGATGGCTGGATGTCTGGAACACGAATCCCAGAGCCGTAAATAATCTGAGGCACTGCAACCGAAACCGTGACCGCGAAGAGAAAGGCGGATCGGGAGACTTTGATTGCAGCCTCATTCCCTCAGGCTTTGCACGACTTTGTGGCGCTGTGAAGCGGCCCCAATCACAAGGTTTTGGGCAATTTAGGCCCTGCAGGGTTCTGCCTTCAAGCAGCAGCTTGTCTACTGCCATCATGCTGGTACGACGAGCGAACGTAGTTGACTGCCTTGTAAGATGCGAAGCCCGCTTGAGGGTGCAAGGCCAAACGAATTACTCATCGGCGCGACATTCTTGATGGTCTGGCAGCCGGATACCTCCATTGGTTGCTTGCTGTTGACATGACACAAGTCTGGTGCTGAATTGGCCCTGTGGCAGATGTCCTCATGTCCGCAAGGAATCGACAGTTTACCTTGCAGCTAAAGGCACGAGTTGCGCTGTGCTGGGCGCTCCACGCAGCTTTCGCGGCATCCTCACACAGCTTCGTCTAGAGTAATTTGCAAGCCTCCAAGAGCCCTAACACACGCTGCCGGGACTGGGCTTTCTAAAAGCGTAACAGCTTTGCTGAGCACGTCTCTCCAGCCTGCGATGGTGCTGCGGCTGTGAGAAACTCGTCGGGGTTCACCTGACGCAACACAGCTCCATCTACGTTGCGAGATTGGCAGCCAAGAGAAACCGGCAAGGAACCACACCACAAGGCTTGCTGCTTATGGTGCCCTGCAACAGCAGGTCATGTGTGCACATACGGCTGAATGCCAATCTCAGCAAATTAACATAGTTCATGAACGTGAGCCTGTGCCTGCCACATCAAAGGATTTCTGCGGTGAGGAA